TATGCCGAAATAAAAAAAAAAGTTGTACAAAATATATGAAGCAATGGTTTTGGATATCAGATAGCACAGGACAATGATTTCTGAGAGAGAGAAAACAAGTGAGCTGAGCTCTACAATTTCTTCAGCCTACTGCCTTGAGAGAGTTTCCAGGCTGCAGCCCAAAGAGGAGGAACCTAGGAAGTGTCCAACAACCTCTCTGAGTTGAGGAGATGGCACAGGGAGTCCAGGCAGGCCAAGGCAGTAGAACAGCTAGAGTTTAAAGGGAAGTGTATCAGAGAGGAGAGAGATCAGAGAGAGGAAAGAGGAGAATGAGAGAGGAGAGAGAGAGAGAGAGAAATATGTAGAGAGTTCCCTTGAGTCTTTAACTAAGTACCGATCAGAGCATGTGTGTAAGGAAAGTATCTGAGTTGAAGGAAACAACCACACTAAATGAGCAGAAGAAATAATCCCTGGAGCTCACACAAGGCAAAGAACGCTCTATGTTCTCACTACCCAGATGGAAAACCTCATAAATCACAAGGCATCAGATAGAGTACTTAGAAGGGTATTATACCAGCAATGGTGCAAAATTAGCCCTGGACTAATGGTTATTCTGGTCCCAACTAACAAATCTTAAAAGCAATCAAACTTGAAAGGATCAAATTATTTCCCATTTATTTATTTATTTATTTATGTTTTCACAATGACAAAGCAGATCTATATTCCCCAGTTAGTTAACAGTGTTCTAGAACAAAGCTCAAGAGTATGCCTGGGAATACAAAATTATCCAGCAGCCAATAAGGTAAAACTGACAATGTCTACCATATAGTCAAAAATTACCAGGCATACAATCAGGAAAATAGGACCTATAATAAGGAAAATAAATTAATCAATAGATAGACTACAAAATGACATAGGTGTTAGAAAAAGGACATTAGTAGACAAGGATATTAAAATAGTTATTATATGTTCAAGAAAGTAAAAGAAAGATTAGGCAGGTTAAATAAAGTCATAGAAGATTTAAAAATGATCAAAATCAAACTTCTAGAGATGAAAAATGTAATGCAAAATAAAAAAAATTACTGGGTGAAATTAACAGCAGAGTAGACAATGCAGAAGAAGAAAAACAAAATGAACTTGAAGATATAGTCATAGAGACTATCCAAAACAAAACACAAAGAAGAAAGACTGAGGAAAACAAAAAAGATCAAAGCATCAGTGATCTGTAAGAAAACTTCAGGTGGCTTAATATTCATATAATTGGAGTCTCAGAAAAAGAGGGAGAGCAGAAATATATTTGAAGACATATGGCCAAATATATTTCAAATTAATGAAAACTATAAGCTCACAAATCCAAGAAGCTCAATGAACCCCTAGCACAGAAAACTGAAGAACTACACCAAGACACATCATAATGGAATTGCTTAAAACTAGTGCTATTAATAAATAGAATAGCTTAAAAGCAGTCAGAGGAAAACAGGACACATTGTGTACAAAGGAACAAAGTTTAAAATGACAGTGGACTTCTTTTTGAAAATAATGAAAGCCAGACAACAATGGAACAACATCTTTTAAAGTACTGAAAGAAAAAAATTACCATCCTAGAATTCTATATACAACAAAAATAGCTTTTGAAAATGAAGATAAAATAAGCTTTTTCAGACATGTAAAATGTGAAGGAATTCATCACCAGCAGACTTGCACTATAAAAAACGTTGACAGAAGTCCTTCAAGTGGAAGGAAAATTATACTACATAGAAGTCTGGATCTATACAAAGCAATTAAGAGCCCTGGAAATCAGGTGTTCCATCTAATAAATGAAGGAATGATAGACTAAAATAACAAAATTTTGCAACCTCTAATGCATGAATGAATCTAGGCAATAATCAACAACAACTGATAATATGATAAAGAGAGAGGTAATCAGATATACCCTGGTGGAGGCACACTTCACCACCTATGTGAAGTAGTATTGTCAAAAAATAAGAACACAAACAGATATTAATACTAACCAAACCTGACTCTGGCATCTAGATCTAACTACTAACTTACTGGCTTTGCAAGGGACCAAAAAATATGTTAAATGACACCACTGTGTTTCAATTTAAAAAAATGCATGCTTGGTCTGAGTGCAGTGGTGTTTACAACTAATTGGTCACAACCAGTTATAGATTCCTTTGTTCCTTCTCCACTCCTACTGCTTCACTTGACCAGCCTTAAAAAAAAAAAAAAAAAAATCCAGACTTGGGAAATTCTGTAGGAGAAATAACTGGATTTTTTTCACCTAAAAAAAAAAAAGTGCAGGGAGAGAGAGAACTATTGAAATTTTCATAGAGAGGAAACTACAGAATACAAGAGACTTCAGAGACTTATCTATCAATCATAATATATAGATCTTATTTAGATTCCTAATTCAAACAAACAGGCTAAAAAGGGAAAAAGAAATTTGTACATCATTTTGGGAAATGTAAACACTGACTGGTATTTCATAATATTAAAGAATTATTGGAGGAAAAAGTTACCCAGGCCAAGAAAGGAGGAAGATCACCTCAGGGGGTGGGGACAGACTAGGCAAAGGCACGTCCTCGCAGTGAGAGGGGTGGCCCTCTGGCAGTCACAGCAGAAAGGACTCCTGCCACATATCCTCCTACTTTCCCTCTGGACTAGTGCTGGCTGTGGTGCTCTGGTTTCTGAGAAAGGAAAATGCAGAATATTGACATGGAGACTATTTCTGTCCACTTCTTCTGAGTTTTCTGGGTGTGCGGGTCACCTGGGGTTGGGGAGAGTCTTGTTGAGGGTTTTCAAAGCCACTCTCAGCAACAGGGGAACAGGACCCAGGGGTTTGGGCCAGACATGGGCTTTGAGTACTTTAATTGCATCCCACCCTCCCAGCTCTGCCCTGCGGTTAGAAGACGAGGAAAGAGGAGAGGCTTAGCATGAAGAGGGAAGGAGAGGCAGAGAAGAAAGGAGGAAGAGAAAAGGGAAAAAGAAAAGAAGGGGCTGAAGTTAGAGCTCAGGAAGTGTTCAGTTGCTTTAAGGTGATTCAGGACTCTGAGTGACTTAGGGCCCCTAAACAGTAGGTGGAATGCTACCCTCCTCTCCTCTCCCTACCTGCCATTCAGTTCAGAGGCTAAGCATGGTGTAAGGAGGGATAAAAGGGGTGCTCTGGCTACAGAAATTAGGCAGTTTGTTGCACTGTGGTCAATAGGGCAAGCCAAGCAACCTGACCCCTGGTTGATCCATGGCCACCCAAAGTGGACCGTGTATGCCATGGTGCTTTTGTCATGTGGTTTCCTGCTGTACCAAGATGCCCAGGGAGAAATAATAACAATGATCTTACTAGTTAAGATTATCGACTATTCACTATGCCAGGCCCTATTCTTTAAAAAAAAAGAAGAAGAATTAATTTAGGGCTGGGTGTGGTGGCTCACATCTGTGATCCCAGAACTTTGGGAGGCCGAGGTGGGAGGATTGCTTGAAGTCAGGAGTTCAACACCAGCCTGGGTAAAATAGCAAGACCCCCATCTCTGCAAAAAATTAAAAAAATGCCTATAGCCCTAGTTACTCAGGAAGCTGAGGGAGGACGATGGCTTAAGCCAGGAGTTCGAGGCTGCAGTGAACTGTGATTGTGCCATTGCACTTTATCCTGGGCAACAGAGCAAGAACCCCCATCTCAAAAAAAATTAATTAAAAAAAAAGTTTTGTGGTTTTTTTTTTTGAGACAGGATCTTACTCTGTCTCCCAGGCTAGAGTGCAGTGGCATCATCAAAGCTCACTACAGCCTGGCTCAAGCCATCCTCCCGCCTCAGCCTCCCGAGTAGCTGAGATTACAGGCATGGCACCCAGCCTAGGCCCTATTCTAAGTCTTTACATATTAACTCATTTCATCTTCTCAACAGCCCTTTGAGGAAGGTACTGTGATCAAACCCATCTAATAGATAAGGTAACAGAGCCCAGAGAGGTTAACTGACTTTCTCAAGGTCACAGACATTAAGTGGCCCACTTGTAATTGAACCTAAGAAAAGTCTAGTTCCAGATTTCATGCTCTTCACAACTACCCAGAATGGCAGTGACCACCTGGGCCAAGTCTAGTGACCTCAACCCCTCCCCCAGACAGAGCTTTAGAAAGGCTCCTCCTCTTCCCCCAGAGCAGCTGGGGCCCAGGGCTGGAAAGGAGGCTTCCCAGAGCCCTGGAAGAGACCCCCGGGCGTCGTGCACTGGGAAAGCCACTGTGGGCACGAAAGGCTGTTAGGGCCCGCCCGGAGGCTGGGGAACAGTTTGCCAGAAACAGCAGCGTGCCTGTCCTAAACTGTTCCCAGGCTGCACGGCCTGGATGCCAGGCTGGCTTGTCCATGGTTCTTATCAGCATTCCAAGGAGTGAACTCTGGAGTGGGGAGCATTCCAACCGGGAAGTGGTGTCCATGGCGACACTCTGGCAGGGGGGAGCTCGGGACGGCTGGTCTGTGACTCCCAGCCTGGGTCTTGGTGGGCAGCTGGGCCCCCTCCCTAGGTTCTGGCAGAACACCCTTGAACAATTTAGCCTGAAATAGCATAAGAACTTCTTTCCTATTTTTTCCAGGCTTTTGGATGAAATTATATTTTACAAATGACTCATTATTATATTTATAGCTTCTCTCCAAATGATTCAAATTGTGGTTTGTCGCCTCCCTGTCTCTCAGCTCCCCCCATCTCGACAGGAAAAAGTGCTGTTTACTGTACGGCCAGGTGTGGCTGCCGAGAGTGGCTTTGCCTCTCCCTATAATTGCGTTTGCCTAAGCCCTGACAAGCACCCAGGCGCATTTAGTCATGAGCAGCCTTTGTTCCAGCATGTCGTTGGGAGACAGTATCCGACATTAGCTCGGCTTGGAATCTGCTCCTGGAGGAAGTGCATGTGTGTGGCGGGGGTGTGGGGAGAGTGGGTAGCGTGAGGGGGAGGCTGTGACAGAGGGTGCCTTTGTGAGGGTACAGGCTGGAGGGGCCTGCGCTGCAGCTCCTCAAAGCACCCTGTGAGAGGGCTGGGGTGGGCCAAGGCCGGTGAGGGCCTCAGAGGGGCCTCACTCCTCCGGGCCCCCCAGCCTCCATCGCCGGGCTGAGGGGGCCGCTGGTGGAGGAGCTGAGGGCTCATGCATTCCACGCAGTGCCAGTGTCTGGCTGGTGACACCTCCCAGTTTCTTGTGAGGAACCACTCTGGCTCTTTCAGGAAAGGGAGTTCTTGAATTCCCTCTCCCTTCTAGGGAGCTCCCAGCCAGAGGGACAGCTCAGCACCCCCACCCCTGCCCTCCACCCCAGCTCCTCCCGAGCTCCCAGGAAGGTGTGGTAAGTTTAGAACAGCTTGCTGTTAAACAGGCCTCCTCTGAGAGGAAGGGTGGAGATAGGGCCAGGATGAGGCCCCATTTGCAGTAACAGTTTATCCTACCAGGTGTCCACGGGATCAAAGTCCTCTTGGTCTGACCTGCCTGGGTACTAAGACAACTTAAAATCCCACAAAATAGGAAAGAACATTCTGGAGCTCATGGTGACATTCTGAGAGCCCTGCAACAGCCCTCTGACCCTTTGGGTCCGTGAGCCTGGGGTGTGGTGATCCACAGATGACCCCAGCTGGCTGCGGATTGAGGCTGTGGGGCAGCAGCAAGGCCGGAGGAGGGAAAGGAGACAGTACCCCACGGGAGAATGGCTTTGCAGCCCCTCCTTGGCTGCAGGTGAAACGCTAGCTCCTTTCTGAGGGGCAGCAGCTGCTTGGGAGGCGGGGCGGACGAGGTCAGAGCCTGAAGTTGTACGTGGTCCAAGCCTCGGGCCTTGCTTAGGTCTCCAGACACAACCCCAGCCCGGGTTCCTTTGGGTCTGCTTCCATTTTCCCTCTTGGCACCGCCTGCGTGAGTGGGAAGGGGCCTCGGAAGGAGATGATGTGGGAATGGGTGTGGACAAGCATAACGTAATTATTGGTGAAATCAGCCTGAAGCCCTAAGCAGATGACTTCCATCTGGGCTAAGCTGGGTCACTGTGAGGTGCAAGAGACAGGCCCGAGTGTGGCTGGGCCAGAGAGCTGGAGTCCTGGGACCTCTCTCTCTGGGGTGTTCCACAGAGGAGGGAGGGGAAGGCTGAGGGAAAGACCAGAGAGGGTCGTGGTGAGGCAGGGGTGGCCAAAAGGAGGAAGGGTGTGCACTTACCTGGGCTGTGGTGACCTGAACCTCTTCCTTAGGGCTGAGAGAAAGAAACTCATTAGCAAAAAGTGCTGCCTCCTACAGCGACACCAGCTGCTGGTCAGACTGGGGCAGCCAACACCACCATCTGAAGCTACCTTTGGACCACCTACTTGGATGAGATTTGTGGTTGTGCAGCCATGCTACTTGTGCCGACATATTTCCATTTGTCTTTCAACAGTCAACGTTATTAGAAGGGCCATATTTGTACACGTGCTCATGGGATACAACTCTTCTCTCTGCCCCTCTCTTACCCCCTCCGCCAGCTATGCTCCTGCTTGGAACCCCACGCCACATCTCATCAAAGCAATGCCATGGGCAACCTGTGGACAAAGCTGGATATTGCCTCTGAATAAAAGCTAATCATGGATGGAATTGCACTGAGTATCAAAAAATTTTTTTAAAAAAAGTTAATCGGGGAGAAAATAAGTGTCTCGACAGAATGGAGTTTTCCTTGTAGAGACCAGACTGTGAAGGACTTTGATTCTTTCCACCTTTAAGGAGAAGGATGATTTAGGGATATTTGCTCAAGATCAAAGTATTATTTTTAGGTTGTATTTACTGAGCTATTTGCTGGCTACCTCCTTATTTCCAGGGAGCAAGTTCCTTCTTATGTTTGAGATGTTTTTAGTTTGACAAAGTGAAATAGGAGATGATGAGACCAGCCTGCACACTCTTCTCCCAGTGTGTTCGCATCCATTTTTTCACTGGGGACTGGCTGTTAGCATCTCCATTTGCTTTATAGGGACGTGGAGATAGAGATTAAACGACTTACTCAAGGCCACACAGCTCGTTAATGACTGAACTAGGCTTAAAACCAAAGTCTGACAGCTCCTATTCCAGTGGCAACTGCTCCCTGCTTCTTGTGTTTCCATTGGTTTGAAAGGAAGCACATGCCTTCAGCAATCCCGGTGGGGTCAGCAGAAAGATGACGGAACACCAGGTCTGAGAGCAGGTGAGGGTGACCTCCTTAGCTCGGGAGCTCTGTGCACAGGTGTTCACAGATGTGCCACGATCCAAAGTTACGAAGTCCCTCTTGGGGTTGCAGTGAATGTTGCTGACTTATTTTGTTTAGTGTGGTAAAGTATACATAATATAACACTTACTGTTTTAACCACGTTTAAGTATAGGGTTCAGTGGCATTAAGTGCATTCATATTGTTGTGTAACTATCACCATTATACATCTTTTTCATCTTCCTAAACTGAGACTCCACATGCACTAAACATGTGGCCCTGGCAACCACTATTCTACCCAGGCCCTGGCAACCACTATGCTACTTTCTGTCTCTGGGAATTTGGCTACTCTGGGTACCTTATGTAAGGGGACCATATAATATCTGTCCTTTTGTATCTGTTTTATGCTAACATATTTAATTAGATCACCATTTTCAACTACAACAGGGATGTTGACTAGCGATGCTGTATACCCAAAGAGGAGTGGGGGAAAAAAAAAAGAAGAAGAAAAAGAAAAAAGAGAACAGGAGTGATTTGGGGTGGATTTCTTGACTGTCAGGGGTACCAGATGTAAGGGGGTGGTGGTGGGGGTTGGATAGGAAGAAAATGTTACATACAAAACAAAATGCTATGCTTTATCATTGCAAAGGAGGGGACAGCATCTAGCCTCTTATGAGGCTTATGCTATGATTTTCCCTGACGGGGAAGCTTTTGGTGGGAACAGTGAGACCCTCTGGGCATGCCAAAGGCAAGACAAATTGTTCTGCAAGAGAAATGCACGGGAACATGGAGTTTGGATAGAAGGGTCTGGAAGAGAAGAGAGGCTGGAGAGAAGATGGTTATAAGTTGGGACTCAGGGAACAGCGAGAGGTTTCCTGAGATGGGGAAGGATTGATTAATTCTTAGGAGGGTAACGTCTGTTAGTGGATTCTCACTTGCCTAGTGTGACCCCCCTCCACAACCCCAAACCTTAAATAAAAGTCTGCTGCCATGTGACTTGGGGATGGCATGGAGTGTGTGCAGGGTGATAAAGAGGTGCTGGAGGGGAGAGCAGCTTCAGGAGAAGAGGTACAGGTAGAGGGTGAGGGACAGAAGCCAGAGGTCACTAGAGGAAGCACAAACCCTCTGAGAATCTTGGCACATGGGCTGGGGTGGGGACAAGGTTTGAGAGGGACATGGGGTTGGGGAGGCACCATGATGGCACCATGGCTCCTATAGTTTGGAGGATGGGGCTGGAGTCATCAGCTTGAATATCATGCAGCAGGCCCTCCTGTCAGACAGCCCAAAAGAAGAAGTGATGCATCTTCTTGGAGACCTGCAACAAAATGAAGGCACAGCCTGGGTAGTTTAGGAGGTCCCTTCAACTCAGCTTACTGCCTCTAAGGTTTCCATATGCATGGGGAAGAATACTGCATTTTGAGAGACAAAGATGGAGCTAGAACTAAGTTAAGCCCAGAACCTGTCTTGGGCTTTCAAAACGACATTCTCTTTAAAATCGTCTGAAAGCAGAGATATGGGGCTGTGACTGTCTCTGATGGAGACATATGCCTTTTGGACCCGCCACACATAGCAAGAGTCTAGTGAGAGGGTTCAGGCTGCCACCCAGAGGCACCCACTCAGAGTCCCACCCGGAGACCCCAGAGGAGCCTGGCATGGAAAGCGAGCGGTGCTTCATGTTGCTGGGAATGCTTGGTGATTCCCTGGCCAGGTCCGGGGCTGAGTGTGGGCTGGGGATGGAGCCCTGCCTGGAATCACTGATGCATCCTAAGATCTCTGGACCAGCCTGTGCGGTGAGGGAGACTGCAGTGAGGCCGGCCGAGGACATTTCCCTCCAGTCTTCTCCAGCCTTGGCCCAGAGAAGCAGGCTCTGGGCTTGTCTGGCTGGATCCCATGTTGGTCCAGCCCAGCATCCCTGTGTTAGTTGGGACCTGGCGAAAAGGGCCTGGCTTGGCTCACACTCGAGGAGGTTTGCCAAATGTGCTAGTTACCACTAAAAGCTTGTAAGCTGGGGTGCAGGATGCCATGGGGCCTGGGCTGGCCCGAGGATGTGCTGTTTAGAAGTTCCAGAAGTTCCCTGCTGGCTGGGAGGAAAGAATGTCCCTGCAGAGTCAGAGGCGAGCCTGCACTGGGTCCGGGCCAGCTTTCCCTCTCGCGGGCCCCTCTGCTCTGGGGGAGCTGCATGTTCCCTTCTACTCAGGCAGCTTGGGAAAGATCAGAGGCCCTTTCAGGGAAGGGAGCGAGAGGGAAACAGGCCTGAAAATACTGTCGTGAAAGGCCAATTCCGAGCTTCAGCCCAGAGCACAAATGCATTCTGTACTCCATTATGAGAATGCGCAGCATTCCAAAAGGTTGTTTAGAGGAAACGTAGAACCTCAGAGCTTTGGTGCTCGGAGGACCATAAAGACCAGTTAGTGTAGCCCCCTCATTTTACTGGAAGGCTAATTTGAAACAGAATGGAATTTGGCAGGGACTGGGATGCCTTTTTTCTTCAGAGGCCCCATTTCCTGAAAGAGACAGTGTCCATGATGAGCTGATTTCACTAATTCACTCATTGCATTTTTTTAAAACCTCAGAGGTCCAGATCTGGCTTCTTTTGAAGGTATCAGACTTTGTGGCTTCCAGGGTGTTTTCAGCTTGGGGCCATAATTTCTGTTTGTTCATTTAATATGTTTGTTCACCACCGGCTTATTGCCAGGTCTCCCTTTGCACATCAGCAGGCTGTGCTTTGAGTGGCCAAGGGGGTGGGCTGGAAATAGGAGTGATCAGGAAAATACTGGGACTAAGGCAGGGGTTGGAAGCGCAGACTTGTGTTAAGGGTAAACATTTGAGCACCCTCACTGAGGGGGCCTTATAGCAATGGAAAAGACCAGGAGACTTTGGGCAGGCGTCTGTGCAGGGCCAAGGGCTCAGGACCCCCTGTGGAAGCAGCTGAGCCACACCAGGAAGATGGCACCTGGGAGAGTTCTGAGATGGGCAGGCCCCTGGCACAGGAAGCTTAGGAAAGGGGAGTCGAGATGGGGGCAGCCAGGCATATCAGAAAAAGAACAAAGAGAGAAAGAAGGCAGGTGGCACAGAGTGAAGTGGGGCCTGAACTAAATTATAAATTTTGGTGGCTACATCCTTTTTGGGAGGGGCTCAGGAGGTTGCCAAGTTTGATCTCATTTTCTGAACAAGACTTTAGGTTACTTCTTATACCAACCACCCAATCATCAGAGAGTCGGTGCCTTCTAATAGAAGCAGCTCTTGGCAAAACACGTGAGACACAAGCAGCTGGGGCTGGGGGCAACACCTGCTGGAGTGGGCTGGGAAGGAGATAGACAGACATATGCTGGTGGCGGAGAGGAAAGTCTAGCATGCCTCCTGTCCTGGGAGGCAGAGTGGTGGGGCAGGAGGTTAGGGCTCGGGGAGGGGCCATGTCTGTCTTATTCACATTATACCCCCAGTGTCCAGCTCAGTGCCAGGTACCCACTAAATAACTGAGTCAGTAAATAACTGAATGAGTTAGTATCTGTCCGAACATACACAGTGCTATGAATCCTTGCTCAAGTGCTCTTGAATCCTTGTGCTAACTTATATTTTTCTTCTTCAGTTTTTAAAGAATAATTGGGCATATTTGCCTAACTTGAGCTTTCCCTTTCCAGAAGGATCTTCTCACTGCTGGCGTGGCAAAGGGCACTGAGGCTCTGTTGCTGAATGATCTCGGCATAAAGACCCTCCATGGGACGGGGGACGGGATGGGGCACAGGAGGAGGGCCAGGGTGACGACGGCCCAGGCCCAGCTGGTGTGTGGGATGCAGAGGGTGGGCTGGCAGGGAGGCTGATGGGGATGAGGCATTAGCAACTCTGTTAATTGCATCATGTTTTTCCTCCACGTGCCAGCGCTGGGCTGCCACATCGTCCCCAGCAGATGACCAATGGAGGAAAATACAAGGGAGCTTAACCTTTATCTCTGACAAGCTTTAACCGCTGGAATTGGTCACCCTGAGAGAAGCCATGGGTTCCCTTCCTTGGGCAACTTCAGAGCCCATCATTGTGGTTTAGGGAAAGGAAGTGGCACTGACAGACTCATGCCCCTCCTTCCAGCTCTTCTCCCAGGGACAGGGGGATGGCTGACGTGACCTTTTCAGGTCTTTCCCGGTTCAGTTTCTCAGGAGGGTCTAAGTATTTATTTCCCTTCAGAAGCTGTACAGAGTCAACTCCTCGTGGGCGTGGGCTCCTTGCAGCTACACCACCCTCCCTCTAATATTTAAAAGATCTATGCTGGTGCTCAGGGCCTCCCAATCATACATTTTTTCCCTTAGTTCTGTCAGAAAAGGCCACATCAGGTTTTTTTTTTTTTTCTGAAAGCTAGGTTCCCAGGGCTAAACACAGCCGCCTCTCAGCTCTAGAAATGGCTGATTTCATTATGCCCTTTGCCAAC